TTAGGGCTCCTGTTCTTATCACCTAAAACTTCCAAAGCTTAACTGACTGCCAGGATAATTAACCCCCCTGTATACTGGAGGTTCTTTTAGGTCCACTTCTGATACATTAAGGAAAAGAAAGAAAATAATCATTTTCAGGTTGAGCAGCCTGGCCCTTAGATGCTGATATATGGCAAATTGCAGCCCAATAGAAAATGAAACCACATTTCTTAAAAACAATTTTGAAAGAAACCTATTATTCCCCCCCCCTTTTTTGAGCGCATAAAATACTTTATAGATTTTATTATTTACAATGTCTCAAAGTGTGGGGTTGGAATTAGAAACATAGTACGTTGACATGGGAAGAGATCTGTTATAGCTAAATGAACCCTCTCATTTTATATTATATTAACCATAACTATCATACAAACCTATGGTGTGAACATCTGAATGAAATATGAAGAAAAATGTTCTGTATTCTCAGATTGCCTACTGATCTTTATTTTTTTCTTCTTTTTTTAACCATAATATTAAACTGGGTCTAGAAATGCTTGCTCAAGCCATCACTGTAGGATAAATAATTCATATATTTTTCCCGTAAATGAAAATGCTCAAGGAGCTTTGTGGATCTCAAATCCTTGCTATAGTTTTCATTGAATACTTACCCGAAATGACAAGCAACCTTTACATCGCTGAAAGAGTTATGATGTCTGGCTTATCAATAGAGGTTCACATTCATCTTAGAAAAAAATAACATTGGCATTTGGTATTTTCAACAAAAAATAAAGCTGCATGGCGTAGAGAACATTATTTCTGAAAGGCATTGAGGTCTTCTAATATATTATTGCACTAACCCAGATTGTATACCAGCTGTGCAATTTATGATCCATTCTCAATATGGAATATTATTCAGCCACTAAAAAGAATTAATGGGCTATAATGTTAATTTATCAAGTAAGAAAAGCAAGTAACAGAGACATTTTTCTAATGACATTTCAATATGATGATATGATCAGAAAGAAAAAATATGGAAGAATATATACCAGTTTGTTAAGGTGAATTGCCAGTTTATTATGATGAACTCCCTGGGCTAAAATAAAGGTATCAGCAGGGCTGACTTTCTTCTAGAGGCTCCAGGGTCCATTGCCTAACCTTTTTCAGCTTCTAGAGGCTACCCTCATTCCTTGGTTTGTGAGTAAGAATGGAGGATAGAAATAAATTTATGGGGAAGAAATAGACAAGCAAAGAGAAACAGGATAAAAACACTTTACCTTAAAACATTTGATAAGCACTAATTTCAAATTGCATATGCATAGAGAAAGGATGTTAAAATCTCATGTTAAAAAATAATGTCATGCTTCCTGACTCCTAGAGGACATAATTGTAGACAGGAATATTGTCCTTATACTACACAGATTTATAGCTGTAGAACATGCCCTGGAGAGGCAGAAAGCTGGATTTTCACTTTCTATCTGAGTGAGTCTGAGCAAGTTTATGAGAGCTGGTATGAGGGAGCAGGAGCAGCTGGGGCCTTGAGTTTGAACACTGACTTTGCAATTTCCTACCTGTGCAAGAGTAGGTATTCTTCACATTGAAATGAGGGTAGAATTGCATATGTCACTGCAAGAATTAAATGAGATAGCACAATTTAACAACTGAAATCATTATCAACTTTCAAGAAATAAATTTTTTTTCTTTAAGTGCCATTACTGTTACTGCTTTCTATCTATAATGTAAAACCCAGGAGCTTGAAGCTTGAACACTAAATGATGACTTCACAACAATGCCTATTAAGTGCTATGTGATCTGTACACTGTGTTATGTACTATGTTGTAGTGAATGGGGACATGAGTAGGAATCAATTTAATCACACAGCTTCATAGAGAGGAGCCTTGAATGATGGGTAGAATTTGCATGGGAGAAGACATTCCAGGTAGAAGAAAAAACTTGAACAATGGAGTACTCTTTCTGGACCCACACTGAATTCAAAATGCATGCTTTCATCAAAGATTTCATGTTGGGGTGATTAGACAATAATGTCGAACCATTAAAAAGGTTTCTATTATGTAGGACATTGAAGACAGGAATAGTAAGTTAGATAGAATATACGGAAAATTATGAAATACAGAGTTAGCATTTAACCTTAAAAATTTAGCATTGAATTGAAAAGAACTGAAGAAATGATGTCCTCACAAATTAATATGCAAAGTTTGTTATGCCTAGTATGCAGATTGTGGAGTATTTTGCTTATGGATTTTCTTATAATTTTTTCTGTTATGTTGCATGTAAATAAGTTGTTTTCTAATGACAGTGTTATCACTTGATCAACAGATTTTTTTTATTAGGGTATTATTACATCTCTAGATAATAGCAAGTTTTCACAGAGTCAGAGAATTTATCTTACACTTATTTGGTGTCCATCCATCTCATTATTTGAGGCCATGCCTACAATATTGAATTCTTTGATTAAATCTTTTGAGATCTTATAACTCTCCCACCTTTGTTTATGAGGAAAAGAGGAGTTTTTAAATTAGTATTTATTGATGAACTTGTGATATGAGTGGAGGAGGTTGAGTCTCAAATCCTAATATTTACCCTACTCACTATCTAATGAGGAAGTGGAATGAGGAATCACAGCCAAATAAAAATTGAAGCACAACTTTATTAGTTTGGCAAGCTCCTTGCCAAAGAAGACCTTTCCTAGAAAAACTGAGCTGAAGCACAGTATAATATCAAAGCTACTTCAGTGGCCAGTTCCTCTGCTTGCTCTACTTCACTAATGTGAGATTGCTGGGTCAGCCCTACCCATGTAACTATAAGACATGTGTGAAACAAGCATCAATGGCTTGCCTAGGTCAGCTTCTAGAATCTGATACTTAAAGCAAAAAAGCAAAAGGCAGACTGTTCAGAACATCCAGACTCATTATCACATCATCTAGTCAGGAGGCAGCAGAAGATAAGAAACATTGATTCAGGAGGCCAAAAAGAGAAAAGGTACTAGCCATTAAAGAAGAAAAAAAGAAACTGCATAAAATGAATGTCCTAAGCTCAGACTAAATATTAAACGATTGCAACACAGTGCAATGTTAAATAGATAAGTACTATACAGAGTGGGGATGAAAAGGTGGGAGTAATTAATTACTTGTGTGAGCCAGGGAAGACTTCATAGAGAAAGATACATAGGGATGAGTAGGTATTTGTCAGAGTAATGATTACCACAAGGAGGAAATTCCAGAAATAGGGAATTTGGTAAACTACAGTAAGTTTTTGGAAAGGTAAACAGTTTGGTATGACTGAAGAAACTTTCATAGGAAAAAAGTGAAAACTGGGGAGGTAAGCAGATATGAGAAAGCCTTAAATGTCATGCTGATGAATATAGGCTTTATCCCAGGATATCTATGGGAGCGTGCGTGAAAACAAGACACCTGAGTTAAGGTTTGCCCTAATGACATGAATAGTAGTTTGTCTCTAAAGATGTTATCACATAAATATTTCCATAGTATTAGTTTCCTATGGTTGCTGTAACAAGTTATTCTAAACTTGGTGGCTTAAAACAATATAAATGTATCTCACAGTTCTGGAGGTTAGAAATGGGTCTCCCTGGGCTAAAATAAAGATATCAGCAGGGCTGATTTCCTTCCAGACTCTAGGGAAGAATACGTTTCCTTGATTTTTTCAGCTTATAGAGGATGTCCTCATTCCTTGGCTTGCAGACTTGTTCTCTTTCAAAGCTAGAAGTGGCTGGTAGAGTCTGTGTCATGTTGCATTACTGTGGGACTCTTGCTTCTGCCTCCCTCTTTCACTTATAAGGACCTTTGTGATTACATTAGGCACACCTGATAAGCCAGGCTACTCTCTGCGTCTCAAGGTCAGCTGATTAGCAACCTTAATTTCATCTGTGACCTTCATTCTCCTTTTCATGTGATGTAAGATTAGGGCACAAATATTTTGGGGAGACCATTCATCTGCCTACCACATCTAGTTTTGTATACAAAAGAAACACATCTGATTGAACAGATTAGGTTTTCAATATCACATTCTTCTGAAACTATCCTATAATGACAATGATGATAATAGATCACAGGTTTACCATGTAAGAAATTAGAAGATATAATGAAAAGTTATATAATGAAAAGTTATATTGAAAAGTTACTATAAAGGATTCCCTAAAAATATAAAAGTCCTGTTGGTAGCTAGCTTATCTTTCTTGAGAAAACAACGCAGTCAAGCAGTAGCAGAATAGCTTCATTTAGGTAACATTTTATTTGTTAGAACAAGATTTGACAGACTTCAACAGCTGGAGAAATTAATTTAAAATCATAACATTTTGTGATTGGCATACTTTTACAGGTAGGTGAAGAATGATTACATATTTTTGAAATAAAGCCACTGCTTCTACATCTTAATGAGAAGCCATACAGTTAAGCAGATAAGCTTTAATAGATAGTAGAAAACTGTCAGAAAATAGATCCACTGTGAAAACTTCTACAGTTCTCAGTGATTTCTTTGTTATAGATAACATTCTTAAATGTGTACTTTTCTGAACAGAAAAAAAATAGCAATTCACTTTATGAATACTTTCATATTTACAATGCCCTTTTAAAAATAGTAAATTAAAAGGGAATATGCGATATAGAATATAATATTTCTAAAATTAAAATAATAAAGTATTCAAAGATACTAGTCTAATGGGATAGGATAATTTTCACCCCACTTAAGGTAATAGAATAGAATTCTTCAGCTTTATATACACTATGTTTACATTTACAGGCATAAACAGTATTATATTTGACATATTTATATTTTACTGATTAAATATCTGAAATCAAAATCTGTGAAATAAGTATAGAAACAGCATATACTTCAATCTAATGTTTACTTAAAAAACAGTCATGTGTCCTTTTTTTTAATTTGTGGAGTTGTTTTTTTAGAATATTGGGAAAGGAAATGGATATAGCAAATAAAGGTCTAAGTTATTCTAGTAGAAATTTAAGTTCAGAACAATTCACAAAGTGGTAAGATGTGTTTCTTCAATTCTTTATTCAATTCTCAACAGTTTCTCATCTAGTTTACATAAAAAACAAGTTTATTCAAAATACATCTCCTTGTTATCACAGCCATTCCCTTTTCACCATTTTATACTCAGTCCCTTCTTTCTCTCATGTTGCACTTTCTATAAAGGACCTCATTACCAAGGTGGTAGGGGACTAGTTTCTGAGGCAACATGAGTCATAAAAATATCAAACCAGTGGTTTCCTTCAGGACATTCATATATTTTTTGTGTTAGAAAGAAAATCTTTCCTTGGGTGCAGTGATATCACTCTTGAGAAACCAATTACTTTCCAACTATCTGCAATACTATTTTTGACATAACTAACTATGTCATATAGGAAAGTGTACTACAGCTATATGATACATAATTTCAACTCTTATTATCTACAGTTCCTATACTGTAAACAGAAAAACTGATTTATAATATTTGATTATCTAGTAATTCATAACTGAATAATTTGAATGAATCAACTTTATACATTGGTCGTCCACAGCTTGGGTTTTTGGCTTCTGTGCAGCTATAATTATCCATAGTTCTCTATGTTTACCTTAAACATCCAAAACAACAAGGGACATTTTTGAACAATCTGTAATACTCTTCTTGAATCTAAGAAAACAAAACAAAAAGGGGGAAACGTTAAACATAATCATGACAGTAACATCAATTGTTTTTCAAATCACAATAAATTATTACATTTGGTTTTCTAAGGTATTATTGCTTTCTGATTATCTGCCAGAATATGCTTATGTGAAACTTTATTTACACCCCTAATAGCAAGATTTTTTAAAGCATATTTTCCTATGAACAGCTAGGTGTTCTGATTATTTTGATACTAAAATGACACTGTATTTAGGCAATAAAGGCAGAAGTCATAAATCTACAAGAATAAGAATTTTCTATTCATTTGGTGACTGATGCTACATGAATATATTATAGGGTTGACCAAAATAAGAAATTGCTTACCTTTCTAGATAAAACACACAGGAATAAGAAAATGAACATCCCTTGGAAGGCATTGCTGACTGTGAAGAGGTAAGCTGTAACCACGGATGCATGCACCACATGGAGAACCCCAAAGATCCAGGTGGTGCCAAGAAGGAACAGGAGAGCCAGGGCTCCTCTTGCACAAGACCTATCATACATTTAGAATGTTTCAGCTAAGAAAGCCATGTATGTTCAACAGAGTTCCCAAATTACTCAAATGATGTGGAAAATGAGTTTTTGGTATAGCCATGCAATCTTTTACAAAGACCAATAATGATTTTTAAACTGACAAGTTGTGCTGCATTTACATGGGATAGCCTTTAGGGTATGCTCCTGCATTGTGGCGGGATGTGCTTCCAAAGTCAAGGTACTATTATTAAAATAAAGTATTTTAAAAGGAATTTCCTTAATCTTAAAGTATTTTATCTTGTGTACTGCAGTGTGCATGCTTTGATTTCGAGTCTAACGTTGCAGTAATTTCTGAAGGTAAGACATATATCTGCTAGGAAGTATTTTCCCTAAGAAACCCTAAAAGTATACCACTTAGACAGGGATCAGCCCATGCCCATGACATCAAAGGAGGCTCTGCTTTCCTTTCAAGGTTAGCAGAGAAGAAAATATAGGATACAAAACTAGATTTTTTTTTGTTTTTGTAATACAGTTACTTCAAAATAAATTCATGCCAGAATACTGATTTATTAAAAAAAATAAAGAAAAAAAGACACACACTCAGGTTTACAAATTTGCAACTCTTTGCCTGTGACTTTGGGTAAAACAATATTCAATCCTGCTCACTGCCTTGTAAATGAAGCAACTAATGATTATTCTCTCATTCATTTTAGGCCAATCATTCTCTACTGCAGAAGGTGTTTTAGTAGTGTTCCTCAGAAAAATGAGTCATTTTCAACTTTATTAAAACCAGCACACTACATGAAACTATGAATGGTGAGGACTCAAAGAAAGTAATCGATCAAACATTTGCTAAATCCCAACTATAAATCTTCTGCAAGGTATTGAGACTACAGGAGTGTTCCCAGGCAACACAAATAGTCAGTTGTTTCTAATGTTCCCAATAGTATACTTCAGCTTTTCCTGAACAAATCATTTTCAAGGACTCAATAAATCAGTTTTAAAGACAGCGGTTGAGGAAAAATCAAGGCAATATGCTAACTGGAAATCACAAGAAAGAAACAATTGCTGAGCTCTGAGAAACGTTTACCAAAAACAAAACAAAACAAACAAAAAAATCAACACAACATTAAGGCTACTTTTGGTTTAAAACACAGTCATCATCTGTTCCCTTTCAAAGGGGTGTCTGTTTGAAAAGATTGCTTCACTTACCATTTAATCTGCAGTGGCTTAGTCTTATTAAACATATTAAATTCTATTTTCCAATAAATATTTTAGATATGGTGACAGAAAGTATGAAATAATGATTTTGAAAATAATTCCAAAAATTATTTGTACTTTAAGTTACTAAAGATTTTAATTACTAAAGAAAGTGGATTTAAAGAAACATTTACCTTATGTTCTCATAGCAACTAACTTCTGGTTTCAGTCCTGCAGTGTGACGAAAAACTTTGTATATGATAACTCCAAAAGCCAAAAGATTAACCTGGGAAAATACATTAATTTCAAAGAAGAGATAATTTTTATAGGAAATTAGATACATATAGAGGAAATAAATAGTGAAGATTTCAATAAGATAGAAACAAAAAAATCATGGCATTTTAATATATATTACAAAGTACAAATACTCTAGTAGACTTAGGCAAATAAATCTGTGATTGTTCTTCACCATATGACTGAAAATTGTAACTAGTTAGTATAATTTGCCAGATTGTGCTAAACAACCTGTTCAGCAAACTTCTTCAGATCATACCTAAAGATTGAAAAGTATCATTTGCTGCCACTAATATGATTAATAATACACATTAAGATAAATTTTGGCTTGGAAAGCTTTATAAACACTTGAGAAAGCAAATTTTTGTTCATTAAATTGTATACTGTTTCTTTGAGGAGAAATTTTAGAGGTAATTCTGTTAATCCTTTAAAATTTGAGACTAGAAAATAAATTGAAAGGAAATTAGAAAACACAACAAAACAACTTTAATTTCTATTGCTAGAAAATGTTTGAATGTACTTTCTTTTCTGAGAATCATGTAGAATCTTTCTTAATATTTATGTTGAGATTTCCTTTCCCTAGATTTAACCTTAGAAGCTTTCAAAATATTAATCGATGAAATAAATGTTTGTTGGCAAGCAAATAAATTTTTTTAATAAACACATTCTATTATTTACATTAGTCATATGGGCTAAATAGAATATACAGTTTTTACCCCTTTTAATGTGAATGCATTATGAAGTTTCCTGTTTTGTCCTTCTTTTCCTATGTTTTTTGAAATCTTTAAGTCATATTTGTAGTGTCATAGATTAAATGAATGGTATATTTTAAATGTATATCTATTCTAATATAAGCACATTAATAATTTAAAATATGAAATATTGTAGAAATAATTGGAAGTTTAATCCTTTATTGAATATATTTTATTAATACAAACAGATTTTCAAAAGCCATTTTGAAATGACAATAGCAAAGTAGTATAATTCTTATATTAGTTATTCAGAGGTTTATAGATATCCAAAATTTCTTTTTTCTTTCTTCTATATTCTAAGGAGTTTTACATAGGTTCTCAAATCCAATTTAGTAATTACTATTATAAAAAACAGTATAAAATAACGAGTCAGAGAATTTCGTGTTGTCACTTCTCCATGAAGAGGTCCTTGAGAGGAAATCTTATAGGAATAAGTCTAGTCCCTTCTTCCTGTTTCCAAATGTCCATTACCTCTAATTATATGATTAATTAATTCTAATTACAGTAATACTTCCATACAAAGACTTTAGCAATTGCAGAGGAGAGATAAAGTATATTTAAATTGATTTAGTTGACAGTTTCACCCTATTTGTATGTTCAAATAATTAACTGAAATGACAATTTCATAATATTTATTTTTATGAATAGCCTTTGATACTTATGAAAGTGGAATACTTAGTATTTTCTAGGTTTCAATAGCTATAACTTCTTTGAATAAATTTGAAATCAACAATTGTACTTAATTTTATAAATGTATGATATATTTTTAAATAATAAAAGTATTAAAATTTGCTTAGCATAAATAATATATGTCAAACCATCATTGGTTTGAAAAATCTCCAAATAATTTTTGTGAGGTACTTACATTAAACTTGTCTCAACAAAGGAAGCATTATAAGAGAAAAGAAATGATTTAAAAAGTGTCCTTTAGTCCCACAATTTTTCCACATAAATGAATAATGTATAACATTTATTCAAATTTCTTAAATATTTGATTTTTATAAAACTGAGTTTTTGAAAAATAGTTCTTCATACTGCTATGGTTTTTCAGAAGTACATATACATTTTGGATATGATAGTCTACATCACATGATAAAATAGTGAAGAGAGGAAATGGAACATTCCCTTGGGGTGACCCAGATCTTGAAAGTACATTTTTTCTGTTTACATACTTATAAAAACCAGGTGCTGCTGGGCAAGTGGGAGACTAATTCTTATTCCATAAGCCTATATTTTCCCAAATGTATAAGAAAACAGATTAAAACATTTTTATCAAAAGGTTTTATCATTTTATAATCAAAAAACCACAAATGCATTGATTAAATTATGCATATTCATTGATAATAATACAAATATATGGAGCTTTTTATTTTCATTTATTCTAATAATTTTATAAAGCATCTATTAAGTGTTTGGTACAGTAGCAAAGGCTGGATACATATTAATAAATAAAACAACATGGTCTTTTTCTCTCATAGATTCCATTAAGAAATTTTAGATAGTGAACAATCATACAGTACTTATAAATCCACAAACCTTGGTAAATGCTATTAATTCACAAATTTGAACTGTTAGGAGAGACAAAATGGAGATGGATTAGAATGAAGGCTCAGGAAGTACCTGTTTTAGGACTTAGTATTTAAACCCAGTTCTTATAAATTATAATGCATTAGTAGATCAAAGAATGAAGTGATAAAAGCACTCCATGAAGAAAAACAGCAAAGAAAAAAGCCCTGAGGCTTGAGGATTTGAGAAAGTGATATTCCTATAAACAATTGATAAAGGTGTCTAGGCTGTAGTGAACAAAGGGAAGAGTAGCATGAGACGAGGTGGGTGAGAAAGACGGAGACAAATATCACATGTATTTTGTCTTAAGCGTCTGTCTCTTTCCTGTCTCTCCTTTTGCCATCGTTTTGCCACCTATCACAGTAGTCCTAAATGAAGTCTTCCTTACCATGTAACAAGTATCAGAATAATTTTTTCTTTAATTTTTATTAGAATAATAATTTTTACCCATAATAATTTTTATGATAAAGAATCAGTTACACATTGTAGACCTTTTCTTCAAGGAACTTACAGTGTAATGGAGGCAATGATCAGTCAACAGGCAAGTACAACGCAATTCAAAAAGTGCCCAGCAGTTGTTTGCACAGTGGCACGAAACACAGTGGCACAAACATGGGTGAGAACACCCTAAAATGTGATTTCTAAGCCAATCTTGAATGACCAGTAGAGGCAAAGGAGACAACACAGAGAAATAGGTGATTTTTCTGGATTTCAGACATTGGACCTATCTAGCACACTCACTTTCTAGGTGATCAGACTTAATGGTTCAAAATACTATTTATCCTTAAGCCCTGACTCCTCCAATTGGAAGTTTAATAGGCATTGTGAGTTAGAAAAATGTCCCAAACTGAATTGCTGTTCTTCCCCCAATGAACCTATTTTTGCTGCAATCTTCCCCATCTCAAGAAAAAAAAATATATATCATTCTTCTAGCTTATCAGTCTTATCCATCAGCAAAACCTTAACTTCTACCATCAAAATATATTCAGCATATGAACACTACTTACTATCTCCACAGCTATTATCCTGAAAGAGGCCACCATCATGCCTCCATGGGCTACCGCAGAAACCTCCTAATTGATCTCCTTGCTGCCATCTTTGCCTTCCTACAATCTGTCTCATCACAGCTGTAAGATTAGTCTCTTTAAAATGTAAGGCAGCTAGTCTCAGTGCCTCAAGCCTGTAATCCTAACAGTCTGGGAGGTCGAGGTGGGAGGATCTCTTGAGCTCAGGAATTTGAGACCAGGTTGAGCAAGAGTGAGATTCTGTCTCTACTAAAAATAGAAAAATTAGCAGGGCATGGTGGCACGTGCTTGTAGTCCCAGCTACTTGAGAGGCTGAAGCAAGAGGATCACTGGAGCTTGGGTGTTTGAGGTTGCAGTGAGCTAGGATGATACCACTGCACTCTACCCAGGGCAATGGAGCGAGACTCTGTCTCAAAAAAAAAGTAAGGCAGATATTTTTTCTATTCAGAACCCTCCAAAGCCAAAGATCTCACAATGGCCTGGAAGGTCTGAAATGTTTTGATCCCTGCTATATCTCTTCCTTCAAATACTACTTCTCTATACTTTGACCACTTCACCCCATTCACAGTAGATTCTCCATGGTTCCTGCAGGACACCAGGCATGCTGCAGGGAAGTTGTACTCACTGGGCTCTACGACATTTACGTGGCTCATTTCTTGCCACCTCCATTCAAAAACCACCTTATCTGCACACTGCCTCCCAGTGCACATTTATTCAGATGATAAAATCAGAGCTGAGTTCAATTCTACAGAAATACAGAAAATGATGCATATTCTTGACTGTTTTGAACAATGCAAAATCTGTATGCCAACATGGTCTTCCTTTGCCTTAATCACTAGAAAACCTACAAGACTCTCCACTTGAACAAACTTTAGCAGGTGCTTCTCAACTAGACCTCAACCTTGGGTTTCAGAGTCTATCCTTGTGGAATGTAGTTCTGGCAAAAATCCTGCTCAGTTTAGAGAGAATCTTCTCACTTCTGATATCTGATCATTCTCAATATTTAATCAAATTCCTCATCTCCCACCCTTGATATTTGATTACCCTGGCCTGCCTTTCAACAAGAATCCTCTCCAGTCAGTTTAGCAAGAATTTTCTTTCCCCATGATGTCTTTTCTTAGTAATTATTCCACTATCCTCAAGCTGCTCCTTGGCTATACCTTCCTGGTTGTCTTTACTGTTTTCAGAGTTGAGTCAATCTGTCTCTCCTTTTGCCATTGTCTTGACACCTAATCACAGGTGGCCATAATAAAGTGTTCCTTACTATTTAACAAGTATCAGAATAATTCTTTAATCTTTATCAGAATAATAATTTTTATCAGAATAGTAATTTTCTAAAATTATTTAGAATAATTTTTTCTTCAGTTACCCCAAATTTTCTATATTTGCTGGATCATATCCCATTTCATAATATTCAGCAAATTTAGGGTAACTGGAAAAGCCTACATTTACTCCTTTTATATTGTCTGCATTCTCTCTTTATTCATAAATATATAAATTACTCGAAATAATTTTTCTAACAGAGTCAAAAGCCATAAGTAAAGAATCAGTATCACCTAAAGTCATCTAAAGGCATGGGCCTTTATGTAAGTAGACATGGAAATTAAGTTAAACTCTCTGTCGTTTACATAATATGGAAAAGTATCTTT